AGTGAATTCCTTTTGGTTTCCTTGCTTACAACCGAAGAACTTTGACAGAAGAGCCACGGCTGCCTTCTAGTCTTCAGCAGTCTCTCCTGGTACTGGTACATCTACACCCTCCCAACGGAGGACCACTCAAACCTTGGCTTTCGAGACGCTCAAACCTTAAATCCACATTTATCCCAATTGTTAATGGAATAGTCTCTGGAGGAACTATGTGTGGAATAAAGCTTTTTATGGATTTAACATTTAACTTTTATTATGTTACCGAAATGCCGCAAACATGTGGAAATAACAGCTAAGGCAGCCAAGATGCAACAGAGCCAAGTGAGACCCAACACAGGGATGGTGTCAAGTTGGATGAATCTTCTCGATGTTGAAATTAGAGACATCTACTTTAGAGGATTACATTAAGGCCTACGTGTGAAAAGAGGAGAGAAGCAATTATTTTTGCTTTATTTGGCATTGTGCAGGCTTCAGTTGGAAGGAAATACATTGACTTTTTCATGCCAGCTGTATGAAGGGAAAAACTTGGAGGGTGTTCAGAGGAGACGAGCAGCTGATTAAAGGTTTGTGAAATTAGACCTATGAAAATTTGTTAGAACAACTGGGCATGTTCAGTCAACGGCAAGACACTCAGGCAAGATGAACGATTAACTACAACTATGTGAAGAGATGGTTTCCAAGTTTGAGGTGAAGTTTAAGTAACTGAGAACAGAAAGTCAAATCATGGGATTAAGAAAAGGGAAACACAAACAACATTAAAGGGAAGTTAAAACACTGAATAAAGATCTTCAACTATTAATGCTCTTAAGAAAGCGAATGGAGCTTTCACTTGGAACTTTGTATGTGCTATTAAAACAGTTAAATTCCGTTTTATAGTTAAATTATTTAGATGATGGAAGCAACTTCTGATTACATTTAACAAGTAAAATTCATTAGACCAAGTGCGAAGAATGTTTTTAAGAAAAAAAAACAGTGCATTATTGGGCCCTCTCTAGGACCCAGGCTTCGGCGAACGCAGAGTAGTTCTGGTGAAAGTCTTTCAGCTCCAGAATAAGGGTAGCTTCCGGTGGATGCAGAGACCGGTGTGGTGTGTCTCTGTTTAGGGAATGCCCAGGGATCCCCAGGAAGAGAAACATGATACTCTCCAGAATGGTCCTCCACAGCTATTCTTCCCCTTCTGAAGCACTGTTGGGCAAAGTATGTAGACAGATAATTCTTCTCCGGTTTACCAGCTATGCCTTTACATGCAGATACAGACAAAACACAAGGCTTCTGTCACCTTTTGCTTTAAAAGTCGATCTCTTAACCTGATAGCACCTGCTTAGATATTCTAATAGTAATCTCATTTTTGTATTCTGCTCCTATCTGTAGACTTGGCAGTTGAACCCTGGCTCCATTTGCTTATTATACGTCTCTCCCGCTCCCCACCTCACCAGCTCCCTACCTTTTCCCTGCTTGGTCTTGTGGTGTGTGTGTGTACGTGTGCGTGTGTGTGTGTGTGTGTGTATATATATATATATATAGAGAGAGAGACAGAGAGAGAGAGAGCGAGCCAGCCCACTACAACTTAAATTTACTCCAGTCCTTGTTGTGGAGCAGTCTCATGTGGCTTTTTGACACCAACTCCCTCTGTCATTGTCTTCTCCCACTAGGATGCCGGATTCCTCCTTTCCCTTAGCCAGTTCCACAGCACCTCCAACATCCCTAGTAAGAGTTGAGGTCTAATGCAGTTAATGAAGAGTTCTCTTGACTTTCACATGCCATAAGAGCCCAGAAGCAAGTTGTCAAAAAGTGTGCACCCCTTCAGGTCTGCACCAACGTTGCGGGTTACCACACAAGCAGCTCCTGCAGAGAAAATCCTGTCTGGGCGTTCACAGAGCAGAGTCCCAGCAGCACGTTCTAATGAAGCTGTTCAAAAGATCAAAGTGTTACACAATTGATGTGTCTATGGATTGGGATAACAGTTGTATGAGCCCCTAATAAAATGTTAAAGAAAAAAAAAAAAGATCAAAGTACCAGAGGCATTCCAGACTGTTGGGTGTGTCAATGGCCAAAAGAACATGACATGGTTAAAGAGCAAATATGACATTTGTAACATGTTTTGCTTTATAGTGGGTAAATCTAGACAGACTATTAATATGGATATTCATTGTAGGAATCTTTCAAATTTCTGAAAGCCTAAAATTCTTTGAAACAAAAGTTGCAATTAAAAATAGAAACTCTGAAAAAAAAATAGAAACTCTGTGGAGACAGCGGTCAGTGTGAGATATGAAAATAATAGCAATCTATAATCTCTCAAGGGGCCACGATGGTGGGGGTGGGGAGGGGAAAAAAAGGAGCTGATCCCAAGGGCTCAATAGAAAGTAAATGTCTAGAAAAGAACAATAGCAATATATATACAAGTATGCCTGATACAGCTGATGTATGGATTGTAACAAGAGTTGTAAGAGCCCCCAATAAATGATCTTAAAAAAAAAAAAATAGAACCTCTGAGTATTAGCTTCATTTGTGCTTCTTGCTAACTGGCTTCAATACACCTTTCTGATGTCATCCTGATAATTTTGTCACTGTTATCACTGCTGTGCATGCTTATTGGATACATTAGGTATATCTTCAAGAAACAGAAATATTTTTTGATTATGTAATATTCATGACTTAAAATTCACTAACCACAAAAGGATCTGTTTCTCTCCCACATGTGCCCAGCTATCAGTTCTTCTTCGCAAAGCATCTTTCCAGCGAAAAGGCACTAATTTTAAATTTATTAGAAATTTGAAGAGTTGAAGAAAATGTGATATAGGAGAGAGTATTTTCAATATAATGCCATAAACATTTTAAATTTCAGCAAATCTATATAAATACACTATCTTCTATTTTTCCTTAGTAAAATGTATTGTGAGGACAAGTTCACAAAATATGCGAGACAACCTTGAACATGTGCTTTTAAGTGAGTAGCACTGAATAACTGCATCCAGTAGGGTCAGACAGTTAGCTGCTTTGAAGTGCCTTTGTTTGCAGACACACTCACTACACCAGAGCTACCTCTGCAATTCTCTTCCTGGCTCAGTCAATACTTAGTAACATTGGTCATTAAAAATGAGCATGACAGACCCAAACCACAATAATAATAAAAGAATAATCAATTCTTACATGGCAAAGGATTGCTTATCTTACCTGAGCAGATTCTAAATTTTTTTTTTTGATTCTAAATTTTTAAGAGGAAAAAATAACCCTGACTGGTAGAACCTCCCTGGACTAATTACATAGCAAAGTGGGCTAGAATTTATATCTAATTCAGATTGAAAAAAATTTTAAAGGTTGGTGTAATAGTTTTATTATAAATATCAGTATTTAAAATAATCACAAATTACCTCTATTGCCTCCTTAGTAAATAGTTCAACTCATGATGAAAAGTTCTGAATGTTCATTGAAAACCTTGTGAGGGTACAGATTTTCAAAATTCTTTTGGGGAGATACAAAATTAATGCTTGAGGCTGGCTCTTTATAACCCACCAATACACAAACCCTCTTGCCTGGGGTGAAGGAACGTTTAATGGGGAAGGCGAGAGTCAGCAGCTGAGCATACTCAGACCTGAAAGGTACGAAGCAGGGCCTTCCGCTCATCTCTTGGCAGGACCTCCTGTGCGTCTGCCTCATTTGATCCTAATGTTTGTTACAACTCACCACACCAGGGAGACACAACACCAGGGAACCATCAAAGGCCAGGAACTTTCAACTGCCAACCTGAATCACACCCAAGTGACCTCAGCACCTTAATTATGCATCGTAACTGGGAGGTGGTTACTGTCTCCTGGGACATTTTTGCTTCCTGTTTCCCTTCCCATTGTCCTTAAGCCAACTAGAATACACTTTAGTAGTCCTGATGGTATAATTATGCATTGGATTACCACAAGGTCAGCAGTTCAAAACCACTAGCCACTCCAAGACGAGGCTTTCTGCTTCTGGAAAGAGCAGCTGTCTCAGAAAACTAAGGCAGTTTTAC